GTTCCGTTAAATCTTTCCACCTGGCCGTTTGACTGTGGGTGATATGGACTAGTGTGGATATGCCGGGTTTGTAGAATCTGGAAGACTTCTCCCATCAGTTTCCCTCGGAACTGTGAGCCGTTGTCTGTCAAAATTTGATTGGGAAATCCCAATCTTGTGAAAATGGTCACGAGTGCTTCCGCTACTCGCTTTGAATCGATAGCGGGTAGGGCAATCGCCTCCCCCCACATCGAACAGGTATCCACCAAAGTTAAAATAAAGGAATTTCTTTTCTTGGTGCGAGGGAGTGGACCGACTATGTCGACTGCCACTCTCTCAAATGGAGTGTTCATCAATGGCATGTCACCTAAAGTTACTGGAACTGTCCAATGCCTGGGAGCTACCCTTTGGCATTCTGGACATGACTTTACATACCGCTTAATGTCCCCATTCATCCCCGGCCAGTAATAATGGCAGGCGATACGTTGCTGTGTAGCCCCAATCCCCATATGTCCAGAGAATGGGATAGTATGTCCCATGTGCAAGATTTGCGTCCGGTAGGGGGAAGGTACAACAAGTTGACCAAACTCGTCTCCATCTTTTCCTGCCCTACGGTACAGCAAATTACTTTTGACATAAAAGTTTCCCTTACTAGGAGGGGTTTGGGCTTTGGGCAACTTTCCGTAGCAAGGTTGAAGAGTGTGGTCCTGTTTTTGGGCAGCCCTTATTTCACCCGGAAGGGGGTTTAAAGGTTGAACAGGCTCTAGGCTATCTTTAGCCTGAGACCTGGTCTGTACAGCCGCGAGAGCTATGGGAGTAGATGGTTCACTTAAATAAACATACCGACACCCTAGGATAAAAGGATAAATCGGATCATCTACCACAGCAGCGGATACAGTCCCAGTAACATACTTGGACTCCACTTCAACTAAAGCTATAGGCAAAGTCATAGTGGGGGAACTCTTGGTAGCCCCGCGGACTTTAATAGTGTCTCCAGTTAGCTGGCCAGGTTCTACTAGATATGATGCAATTAAACTGTCATACTGGAGGCCAGTATCATAGAGACAATCTACTCTCTGTCGGTTGACTGAGATCGTTTCCACCACGGGTGGTCTCCTAGTATTAGGAAAAAGTACACTAGGAGGCTTTTCAGCTGCCACACATGCCGCGTACTGAGGGGCAGGTTTTTTCGGGCATTCGGCCGTGTAGTGGGTATGAACCTTGCAATATTTGCAGTATGGATTTCTCCACCCCGACGCTAGTTGCGGCTGGGGGGTTTTGATTTGGATTATGTTGGGGTTTGGGCCCCTTTGCGGCATTTTTATAAGGTTGTACGGGTGTTTTCACCGGAGGTTTTTCAAAAGTGGGTTGGGGTTTGGGCTTACAAGATACTTCCCCGTGGGCTGCATGATAGCGTTCTGCAAGAGTAATCATGTCGTCTAAGCGTTCAGCCCCATTCTCTGTTAAGAAAGTCTGCATAGGTTTCGACATACACTCCCTCAGTTGCTCGGCCAGCACCATTTCTTCCAACCCATCGTATGAGTGATCATGACCCCCTAAAGTCATCCATTTTGAAAGATAGCTTTGGAGTCTACTCAGCAGTTGGCTAAACGATTCACCCGCTTGCCGTTGGGCTGTTCGAAACTTATGCCTATATGCTCCGGAGGTAAGCTCATATCTTTTGAGAAGTGCCTGCTTTAAGGCCTCAAAATCATTTTCCTGACCCCGAGGTAGCTGGTTGTAAACATCATAAGCAACTCCTCGAAGCCCCTGAGAAACCTTAAAGTTCCATTTCTCTTTTTCCAGCCCGTAGTTCTCAGCCATCTTTTGGAATTTCTCTAAGTAGGTGTCTATTTTATCTGCTTTTTCATCGAAGTGCATCAAGGGGAAGTTCAGGGCCCCCACAAGATTATTCTGAGATGAACCCTCAGGGCTAGGTAAAGAATAGTTGGGAATCGGTGAGGAGGGTATTGGGGCCTGTTCACGAAGTCTAATTTCATGTTGCCTTTCTTTATCTCTCTCTACCCTTTCCCTTTCTTTCTCTGCCTTTTCTTCTTCTCGAATTAAGGCTCTTTCCTTAGCCTCTGCTTCAGCCTTACCATACTCTCTTTCATCCACCCGGTATTCTCTATCTACATCTTGCATGTACCTTTTTAACTCTTCACCCTCGTGCCCCAGCTCTATTCCTATTTCCCTTATCTCAGCCATAGTTGGTCTTTTGAAAGGCATGACTATAGGTAGTGGCTTCTATCAATGACCTGAAGGGTAAGTTGTTTAGTAGGCAGAGTAGACAGAAAAACCAGATCAACGCAACAGAATCACTTAGCAGTTATGATTGACAGTTATAGTAGAACACCAAATAGTACTGTATGTATTATACACGTCACAACAGATACGTAACGTAACAACAACAGTATGTAACAAAACACCAGGTCTGGAACTGAACTACTTAAAATTTTGAATCATTTTACACAAACATTTTAAACCATCAATTTTTAGCTCAGTCTTATTAAACAGTTGTGCAGTACCTATAAAGCTATAGACTACTAGGAAATAGTCTCTGGTAAAATCCCGGACGAGCGTACCAGTTGTCACAACTATAGGAGGGCCCTAGGAAGGGTAGGGTTCCTATACAGGAGGTATCTTCAGTCTATAAGTGTGGCTCACTAGAAGTATGGTACTTCATTGTCTACAAGGGTAGAGAGACCGAGATATTGCTCCTGGGACAGAGGACAGGAAGATAAGGCTACCCCGCTCCGATGGGTGGTGCTAGGCAGACTAGTTATCCTGGTGGCAACTCCTCTGCCACTTTTAAAGAAAGAGCCCCCAGAGAAAGAAAGCGAAGAATGCCCCTTTCTCGCTCACTCAACTATTACTCACGCACAGCAACAAAGACAGACGAGAATAGTAGTGAATGAAGAATGATGTCGCTTTAATTTTACTGACAGCTGACTGGCTAAAAATTGACAGTGGTTTGGTGTTTGATTTTAAACCAAATGGTTATCATCATAAGAGAAATGTCTACTGGGTCCAGTTCCTTCCCCGCACGAGTACAGCTCACCCGTGGATACTCCCAAAGGCTGGACTTGATGGGGAAACCGGAACACTTGGCTTCTTGTAGATCTTATTTCTTGTGATATCCTCTTGTAGATAATCCACCGCTGATGTTCTTAAAGTTCAGATACGACACGTGGTCGTTTAGAAAATTCGACACGTGGTCGGTTACAATTACGACTAGTAGTCGGTTATGAATACTGGGATTAAATCCCTTAAACTGTCTCTTTGTCTGTGCCGATTCTATGGCGACATGACAATGGGTACAATTGTGTACTAATCGTTGAGTCCTTGGTGTTATGAAAAATGCCGCAGGGCTGGGGGAAGATAGTAAAAGCCCTGATAAGCGTGTGCAAAAAGGGAACACGTGGTTTCCCGAATTTGCTGGTTCTCTGGGCTCTTCAGAATTTATTAACTGAATTAAATATTAATATAATTCAGTTACGATGGTTTACAAAGTACACCGCATTTAAATATTAGCTTCAGCACTAACTAGTAAAGGTAAGGTTAAACGCACGTGGCCATATATATTTTTATATCGGTTACCTCTAGAACTCCAGCCAGCAAATTCAGGGATAACAATTTTAATATAATGCTACATTAATAGTACACTCACAGAAGATTCACAATTAGAAAAAGAGTGCCAACTTACCCCCTCAGATCGGTCAGAAATCACTACCGTAATCCAGAACGAATTAATATAGAACTACACTCGCTAATCTGAATACTGAACTTGAAAAACTACCGATCATCACTCGACCACGTTTGGAACTGCAAAGACCGGAAGATGGCGGCTTCCGCTCAAAAATGGACGACCCACGTGACGCCAGCCATGCGCATGCGCCAAAAAGATAAAGCGCCCTCTGGTACGTTCTATTGATTGGTCGAACAGGGCACTTTGATTGGTTGCAAAACTAGTAATCCATGAGTTAAATGTAACTAGCCCTATCCGGTTTTTAGCGGAAAGTATTAGGGGAAGGCCGGTTGCTAGGCGACGCGAAAATCTCATCGAAGTTGTGTAAGCACTCGCATCCTCTAACTTCTAATATATATATAGCTTCTGCCCTAAACTATAAGGTAACTAGGGGAGCGTCAGTGGTCATTGCCAGTACTGTCACACTCTAACATTTTAAAGATATCACGTCTAATGACATCTACATCAAAGTCGTCAACTTTCCTTTTCCTTCTCTGCTTGACATGACTTTACTATGTGTTCTGTCTATTACAACGGGTAAATGATGCTCTGTCCAGACCAAGCACCAATAGTGTTCGTTTCTCTGGGTCATGAATATCATAATATAAATGACCCATCTTAGATTTCATGAGGAAGTGCTGGTACAGTAATGAGGTAACCTTCTGCATAGTTATACATTTGCATCTGAAATTCATTTTGAAACCGATGTCTATGTCAGCTTTTATAAGCTAAGCTATTGGACACAATAACTCAACACTAATTCGTGGATGCGCAACCTTGATCACTAAGAGTGCAACCTTGCACGAAAAAATCATGAAATTGCGTAGGGTTTCTTTGACCGCCTGTTAAACCAGCCATAGTGTGCATTTCTTCCTGAAACTAATGAAAGTAATCTTTCCTAAAGTCTAACAAGATGGTTTAATGATACAAATATATATCGTAAAGAAGAGAAGAAAAAAAAAAAAACTACATATGATATTTTTCGATAAGGCTGAGTCCATAGTTGTACCCATGTATGCTCGATGAGTCCAGGAGCCCAGGTCTGGTATTGGAATCCGCTTCCATTGAGTATTAAACCACAAACCATGGGGTCGGCGGGCAAACGTCTAGCTAATGTGCCGTCAAGGCTCCTTATTATAGCAATAACTGACTACAGAACATGTTTATAACATGACACTTAAGCTTTTCGACTTTATTGCCAGATAAACAGAAGGATTGTCACGTGACAGAAAAGACATTGGCACAGGAGCAGGGACCGGATGAATTTATCAACATGAACATTGAGACAGTGACAGTTTTCTCTCTGCTGATGTCTATGCTCTGCCGAATCGTTGAAGGTAAAACAACGTTTGTACTGTGTAACAAAAATATCCGAAGTCCCTTTAAATATTAAGTTGTACAGAACCCGTTTTCCGCCATTGGACATATGATGCTACAGCCATGTTTGTACACACCAATGAACACTCGACGGGCGACGTGGATTTTGTTGTTGTAGTTGTCGTTGTTGTCATCGTTGTTGTTGTTGTTGTTGTTGTTGTTGTTGTTGTTGTTGTTGTTCTCCTTCTTCTTTTTCTTCTTCTTCTTATTCTTCTTATTCTTCTTCATCATCATCATCATCATCATCATCATCTTCTTCTTCTTCTTCTTCTTCTTCTTCTTCTTCTTCTTCTTCTTCTTCTTCTTCTTCTTCTTCTTCTTCTTCTTCTTCTTCTTCTTCTTCTTCTTCTTCTTCTTCTTGAGGCAGCCTCAAATGGGTACCTAGTATAGTCCTGGGAAGTGAACGTGGCTGGCGTGATGATAACTACATCACTCATCTAGCTGACTGGTCTATAAAATGTTAGACTAGCCCTTTATGTCCATGGCGTGGAAAGAGCCATTTTTAGAAAGGACGTCTCTTATATTACTTATGTTCTTTAAACCTGCAATATGTAGTATGGCGTTATTTTATTTATACCTAGTCTAAGTCGTCTTAATCGAAGTTTCAACATCACTGCAATCGAGTTTCGTCATACTTGCTCCATTCATGTGCCAGTGCAAATCAAATGAAATATCCCTCACTTTATGCATGTCGTAAAAGTCGACTAATTATGGGTGTTTCCTCCAAAGTCGGAGAGCATTTACCTGAGAATCGAGAAACCAACAATCTTGACCTGCAAAACGTATGTGCTCACAAAACTTAATGAATGAAACTAAAGTCCAGAAGTGGACAAACAACCAGAGCTGTAAACTCGAGTTTATAGCCTGTGACCGCGAAGAAGAAGAATCTGCTGTTGTGGAGTTTATTTCATTACCATACTCCCCACACCCTTCTTTTCATCTTTTGTTTCTCCTAAGCCCTTTATTCTCGTATAATAATACATAGATAAATAATAAGATCCAGAAAAGCATTTAAAACTTGAGTGTTTGTTGCTCGACCACATTGATACCATAAGTGTTACAGACCACCAGTAGAGCAATAAATGAGCAAGTTCCGGGTAGTGCTTCGAGATTAAAGTCAGTTGAACCCCAATCTCGTAAAGGACTGTCTGCGTCTGTCAACATTTTAGCAGATTTACAGCAGAAGCCTTTTCTAACCATCGTCTTCGTTTTAGAACAGCCTGCTGGAAGCAGTGTTGAATGAAATCCAACTTAATGTAGCCACGTCAAAGAATGAGATGGAAGAGTAAGGGGAGACAATTTCCTGTCATCTTTGCTGTAATCAGTCGGACTCTATTCGGAAAGCTAATTAACAATGCAGTCTGAGATTTGTCTGGTGTTTTGTTATTTTGTCTGAGACTATCTTTATCACAAGAAATCGCTGTAGCGCAGATGGCTGGCGGGATAATGACATTACCTTCTTGTGCCGACTGGTATGTTGTATGCTGAATGTATATTGAAATAAAAATTGACGTCACAGCTCTAGGGCTATTCCCATAAGCGCTCTATCCCCGTCTCCAGCAGCAAGGAGTTCTGTTTCAGTACAAATCTGACTGTATATTCGACTCGTCTTTCCTTTGAGTGTTGAACTCGACCAGATTCCTTGGTTGCTCTCCGCTGGACCATTCTCTCGAGACCGTGGTGATCTCTGTGTACCTCCTCACTGCTTACTGCCTCACATAGATCCTTACAATACTGAGCTTGTTATGCATCAGTTCACCATCAAGTGGTGGTCAACAAGCCATTCTACCGCCCTGAAGCATTCTTGCACTAAATGAAGAGAAAATAGTCACACACACACACACACACAACCAACAACATTCTACCGTCCTGAAGCATTCTTGCACTAAATGAAGAGAAAATAGTCACACACACACACACACACACACAACCAACAACATTCTACCGTCCTGAATCATTCTTGCACTAAATGAAGAGAAAATAGTCACACACACACACACACACACACACACACACACACAACCAACAACATTCTACCGTCCTGAAGCATTCTTGCACTAAATGGAGAGAAAATAGTCACACACACACACACACAACCAACAACATTCTACCGTCCTGAAGCATTCTTGCACTAAATGGAGAGAAAATAGTCACACACACACACACAACCAACAACCTGCTACCGTCCTGAAGCATTCTTGCACTAAATGGAGAGAAAATAGTCACACACACACACACAACCAACAACCTGCTACCGTCCTGAAGCATTCTTGCACTAAATGGAGAGAAAATAGTCAGAGACACACACACACACACACACACACACACACACACACACAACCAAGAACATTCTACCTTCATGAAGCATTCTTGTACTAAATGGAGAGAAAATAGTCACACACACACAACCAACAACCTGCTACCTTCCTGAAGCATTCTTGTACTAAATGGAGAGAAAATAGTCACACACACACACAACCAACAACCTGCTACCTTCCTGAAGCATTCTTGTACTAAATGGAGAGAAAAAGTCACACACACACACAACCAACAACCTGCTACCGTCCTGAAACATTCTTGCACTAAATGGAGAGAAAATAGTCACACACACACACACAACCAACAACATTCTACCGTCTTGAAGCATTCTTGCACTAAATGGAGAGAAAATAGTCACACACACACACACAACCAACAACATTCTACCGTCCTGAAGCATTCTTGCACTAAATGGAGAGAAAATAGTCACACACACACAACCAACAACATGCTACCGTCCTGAAGCATTCTTGCACTAAATGGAGAGAAAATAGTCACACACACACAACCAACAACATTCTACCGTCCTGAAGCATTCTTGCACTAAATGGAGAGAAAATAGTCACACACACACACACAACCAACAACCTGCTACCGTCCTGAAGCATTCTTGCACTAAATGGAGAGAAAATAGTCACACACACACACACACAACAACATTCTACCGTCCTGAAGCATTCTTGCACTAAATGGAGAGAAAATAGTCACACACACACAACCAACAACATGCTACCGTCCTGAAGCATTCTTGCACTAAATGGAGAGAAAATAGACACACACACACACACACACACACACACACACACACACACAACCAACAACATTCTACCTTCCTGAAGCATTCTTGCACTAAATGGAGAGAAAATAGTCACACGCACACACATACACACACATACACACACAAAACCAACAACATACTACCCAGGTCTTAAAGCGATACTTGCCACTCTGCACGGAGCATACCTGTCTCTAGTTTTCTCACCATGCTCTGTGAGTCTATTACAACTACGACACGCGTGTACATTGCTTCTAAATGAAGCAAAAGGCTGCTGTAGCTGCCTCCACCTCCATTCTCAAACTAGATGTTTTAGTATCGTAAATGTCTGGCTTTGTTGCGTTAAGCAACGTCCATTCACTTTTGCTTTAAATCCCCACTTGTGCTTTAAATCTGTTTTTAAAAAAAATCACATCAACTGGGCAGAAATTCTTATCAATCATAAGTTGAACTTCTAGTTATACAGCACCCACTGGCCAGTTTCTGCACTCACGACCCGGTTTCTTTAGGATCTGACACACGTCTGTTGCTCGGACACTTTGACTCACTTCTCTACAAGCCTAATATTATCAAGCCTGTCCACATGTCTAATTATGTCTTCAGCTTTTGAGCTTTGGCCATTCAAGACCTTCCTGTATTCGGTCTGTAACTTTTAGCTCTACATGCTTCTTACGGGAGGTGCTTCTTGTCTGTGGCTAGTCCGCTTGCAGCACTTTGAGCCTATCTGTAATAGTAGGCTGTGCAAGTATGCATTGTATAGATACAACCAGGCTATCTCTTGTAGACACCAGAATTACCTTATGGCTCCATTGTGTACACGTACAAGTTTTATCAGCCGACACTTTGATATGGTAAGCATTCTAAGTCCATATACATAACCGAGAGGATCACATGCTGGAACATAGTAAAAAGCATCCTTAGCTCCATAACCATTGCTTCCTTTATCTTGAGTGCACTAAGTCCGTTTTTGCATGTCAGAACCACTACCTGCACATAATCTGCCAAGGACAGGCTTCTATCCAAAGTGATACCCAGTTATCCAAGTCTCTTGTGCTTTCTCTTCTGATGTCTCTATCATTAATTGGGCACCTTGGGACATCAGCTCTTACTTGTCTGTTGTATATTGAACAAAATAAAGCCGTGCTCTTTCTGAGTGGTTGAACTTGTTCTTACACTATACACCCAATAGGCACTCAATAGTGAACAGAGGACTTTACTTCCCTTGTAGTAGCTTTTTTGTTGTTGTTGTTGTTGTTGTCTGTCGTACATGCAATTTAACAACAGCATGTGTTATGTTTCATTTGACAGGTACAATAATGTGCTCAGCGTGTCGCAGCGACAAGTCGCCTGACTGCGAGACTAACCCTCCCCCACCCCAGCCTTGTACAGAGTCAGGAAGTGGAGTTAACCAGTCGTGTTCCACCATTCGCATCTTCAAGACTGGCACAGGTAGGGACTTTTTGATTGTGAAACTGTTTACATACCAATAGTGATTCGGATCAAGTGGCAAAAAGTGGTGATACATCTAACGACAGCTGTATTCATACCTTCAAAGCTGGAGGTAAGAACCACAGAGTTTAATCATTACTTACATATACTGGAGGTAAACACCACATGGGTTGTGCTGTTACTAAAATATACTGGAGGTAAGAACTACATGGGTTGTGTTGTTACTTGCATATACTGGAGGTGAGAACAACATGGGTTCTCTTGTTACTTACATATACTGGAGGTGAGAACTATATTGGTTCTGCTGTTACTTACATATGCTGGAGGTGAGAACTACATGGGTTGTGTTGTTACTTACATTTGCTGGAGGTGAGAACTTCATGGGTTGTGTTGTTACTTACATATACTGGAGGTGAGAACAACATGGGCTGTGTTGCTACTTACATATACTGGAGGTGAGAACAACATGGGTTGTGTTATTACTTACATATACTGGAGGTGAGAACAACATGGGTTTTGCTGTTACTTACATATGCTGGAGGTGAGAACTACATGGGTTGTGTTGTTACTTACATATGCTGGAGGTAAGAACTACATAGATTGTGCTGTTACTTACATATGCTGGAGGTGAGAACTACATGGGTTGTGTTGCTACTTACATATACTGGAGGTAAGGACCACATGGGTTGTGTTGTTACTTACATATAGTGGAGGTGAGAACTACATGAGTTGTGTTGCTACTTACATATACTGGAGGTAAGGACCACATGGGTTGTGTTGTTACTTACATATAGTGGAGGTGAGAACTACATGGGTTGTGTTGCTAATTAGATATACTGGAGGTAAGGACCACATGGGTTGTGTTGTTACTTACATATACTGGAGGTGAGAACAACATGGGTTGTGTTGTTACTTACATATAGTGGAGGTGAGAACTACATGGGTTGTGCTGTTACTTACATATGCTGGAGGTGAGAACTACATGGGTTGTGCTGTTACTTACATATAGTGGAGGTGAGAACTACAAGGGTTGTGCTGTTACTAACATATAGTGGAGGTGAGAACTACATGGGTTGTGTTGCTAATTAGATATACTGGAGGTAAGGACTACATGGGTTTTGTTGTTACTTAGGTATACTGAAAGTAAGGACCACATGGGTTGTGTTGTTACTTACATATACTAGAGGTAAGAACCACATGGGTTGTGTTGTTACTTAGGTATACTGGAGGTGAGAACTACATGGGTTGTGCTGTTACTTACATATGCTGGAGGTGAGAACTACATGGGTTTTGTTGTTACTTAGATATACTGGAGGTAAGAACTACATGGGTTGTGTTGTTACTTACATATACTGGAGGTGAGAACTACATGGGTTGTGTTGTTACTTACATATGCTGGAGGTGAGAACTACATAAGTTGTGTTGTTACTTACATATAGTGGAGGTGAGAACTACATGGGTTTTGTTGTTACTTAGATATACTGGAGGTGAGAGCTACATGGGTTGTGTTGTTACTTACATATACTGGAGGTGAGAACTACATGGGTTGTGTTGTTACTTAGATATACTGGAGGTGAGAACTACATGGGTTGTGTTGTTACTTACATATAGTGGAGGTGAAAACTACATGGGTTGTGTTGTTACTTACATATACTGGAGGTGAGAACTACATGGGTTGTGTTGTTACTTACATATAGTGGAGGTGAGAACTACATGGGTTCTGCTGTTACTTGCATATGCTGGAGGTGAGAACTACATGGGTTGTGCTGTTACTTAGGTATACTGGAGGTGAGAACTACATGGGTTTTGTTGTTACTTAGGTATACTGGAGGTGAGGACCACATGGGTTGTGTTGTTACTTAGGTATACTGGAGGTGAGAACTACATGGGTTGTGTTGCTAATTAGATATACTGGAGGTAAGGACCACATGGGTTTTGTTGTTACTTAGGTATACTGAAGGTAAGGACCACATGGGTTTTGTTGTTACTTAGATATACTGGAGGTGAGAACTACATGGGTTGTGTTGTTACTTACATATAGTGGAGGTGAGAACTACATGGGTTGTGCTGTTACTTACATATGCTGGAGGTGAGAACTACATGGGTTTTGTTTTTACTTAGATATACTGGAGGTAAGAACTACATGGGTTGTGTTGTTACTTACATATACTGGAGGTGAGAACTACATGGGTTGTGTTGTTACTTACATATGCTGGAGGTGAGAACTACATAAGTTGTGTTGTTACTTATATATAGTGGAGGTGAGAACTACATGGGTTGTGTTGTTACTTAGATATACTGGAGGTGAGAACTACATGGGTTGTGTTGTTACTATACTAGAGGTGAGAACTACATGGGTTGTGTTGTTACTTACATATACTGGAGGTGAGAACTACATGGGTTGTGTTGTTACTTACATATACTGGAGGTGAGAACTACATGGGTTTTGTTGTTACTTAGATATACTGGAGGTAAGAACTACATGGGTTGTGTTGTTACTTACATATACTGGAGGTGAGAACTACATGGGTTGTGTTGTTACTTACATATAGTGGAGGTGAGAACTACATGGGTTGTGCTGTTACTTACATATGCTGGAGGTGAGAACTACATGGGTTTTGTTGTTACTTAGGTATACTGGAGGTAAGAAGCACATGGGTTGTGTTGTTACTTACATATACTTGATGTAAGAACCACATGGTTTGTGTTGTTACTTACATATACTGGCTTTTTGCGATGCATTCTAGAAGTTAAGTTAGAATTATTGTACCGCTTTTTGTTTTTTCTTAAGAGCTCAAAGGCGAATGTTGAATGTTAAATTAGGAATCGACATTATAGCACTCGGAACACCCCCATAAGCGGAGCGCTTTCCCATCTTCAGCAGCAAGCGAAGAGTTCTAATTACGATTTCACCAGTAACTGTCTGACTGTATATCCGTCTCGCCTTTCCCCTGAGTGTTGAGAACCGCCCAGATCCCTCTGTAACTCCTGGCAGCGCTATTCTTCCCAGACCATAGTGGTCTATTTGTGCCTCCGCACTGTTTACTCGCTCTCAAAGAGCCCTCACAACATTCAGCCTGTCATACACCAGTTTACCACCAAGTTTTGCAGAACTGGCCAGTCTATCTACCTGCTCCTTTCCCAACACACCGGCATATTTTGAGAAAACATCCAACGGATGCTAACTACCCGGAACCTCTGAAGCGGTGCTTGCCACTCTGCACGGAGCATGCTTGTCTCCACCTTTCTCAACAAGTCTACGGGACAGTTACAGTCACGGCAAGTGTGTACAAAGCGATAAACAAAGTGATAAGAACCCTACAGAACTCTGAAACTTGCTCGGACACTTTGACCCACTCTTCACCTCGCACAAATTTATCAAGCCTGCACACATGTCTAATTGTGCTTCAGCTTGCGCCATCCAAGACTTTTCTCCTTTCAGTCTATGACCCATAGTTCTACCGATGGCTTCGTGAGGAGGTGCTTCTTGTCTGCAGCTACTCTGAGATATGACTTTATTTGCAGAACTTTGAGCCTTTAAGCAATAGTTGACAGTGCACGAATATATCTCATAATACTACCTGGGTATCTCTAGTACATCCCACATTTTATTCCCATGGTTTCATTATGTATGCGTTTGAGTTTTATCAGCTGACTCTTTGATATGGTAAGCATTCCAAGTCCATAGTCTATCACTGACAGGATCAAATGCTTAAACATTGTAAACAACATTCTTTGTTCCATGTTTTTTGCGGCCATAATCTTGAGAGCATTAAATCTTTTTTGGCCTTTTCCCGCAACTGCCTCTACATAATCCCTGACGGACAGGCTTCCATCGAAAATGATACCCAGGAACCTCAGTTTGCTTTTTCTTTTGATGTTTTTGTCATTAATTGTGAGGTTTGGAATATTGGCTCTTATAATTCTATTGTCCAAAGGGGGAACCACAAAAAAAGCCGCCTTGTATGAATTGATGACAGCACCCATTTCTCCACACCAGTCAATCACATTGTCTGTAACAAAAAATCTCGAATTAAAGTTTACTACTGTACGTCCCCCCCCCCTCCCCACACCTTTCTACCCTCCATATCCACTGACTAATTCTCTCTCCCTGTTCGAAAGATTTTAAATCCCTCACACATTTTTACAAATTAACCTTGTCATCTGTGTCCACCCAGACTAAAATGGGTAGCAGGAATTTTAATTAGAAGTAAATACGGCCAGTTTAATGTTCACCACATTACCCATCGAGTAACAGTACGACTACTACCACCACCACCACAACAACTTAAAACACTGTCGCTACTGCCTGTTTTACCACCTGTCTAGGTCGATGAAGACAGGGGGTCGTGAGCCAGAGGAGCCGCATGGCTAGTGCTGTTGTCATGGACTGTTCAGCTTAGGATGTTTAATTGTGCTTCCGACAGAAAAACTATCACCCTTAATGGGGATCGAGCCCGGGTCTCCCGCATGACAGCCCGACGTTTTAAATACCTGCCCAACCACAACAAAAACTACTACTATAAGATTTCTGAGGTCAAAGTTCAGGAACGCAGCAGCCAAAATTACAACGGATCGTCCGAAAACAAAACCAAGATGCCGATGTGATCGTCACTGGAACTATGTAGCTCGTGCGTTGTGTGACATTCTTACATAAAAACGCGCGCGTATTCTAATGCAACGTTGGGTCAAAATTTCAAAGCAGTGAAGAGTTTTTTTTCAGAAGAAACCTTTATTCACATTTATGATGTCAACAGTCAAAGTTCACCCCAAAAAAACAAAAAACAAAAACAGAACCACGCACCTGGAACGCGACAACGGGAAAAAAAATTATATTGGATCGCAGGAAAACAAATCCAAGATGCCGATGTGATCGTCGCTGGAGCTGTGTTGTTCGTGCTTTGTGTGACTCTGTTATTTAAAAACACGCACGTATTTAAAGCAACGTTATATCAATATTTGAAAGCAATCGGCGAAGAACATTCGTAGATTAGATTCCACTAACAGAGGAACATTTACATTTTTATTTTTATAGATTTATTTGCCTGCTAGAAATTATTATTATTATTCTAAACTAGCTGGTACCAACATCCCCTCCTCCACTCCATTTTTTAAATGTGTTGGTGTGCTTGCATTACTGTATCACTGACATGTACACATTGTTTTCATATGGTAAAGTACAATTATAGTTTGGAAATACTGATTTCGTAAACTGTATGGGTTCTGCCTCTCCACTCCTCCCCCCCCCCCCCAGCCCCCACACAAAATTTTTGTTGTTGTTGTTTAAATATGGTACAGTACAACTATGACAGAGACATACTGTAGTCATGTGGTGCAGTACAACTGTCACATAGTTAGCTAGTTAGTTAGTTAGTTAGTTATCTAGTTAGTTAGTTAGTTAGTTAGTTAGTTAGTTAGTTAGTTAGTTAGTTAGTTAGCTAGCTAGTTAGTTAGTTAGTTAGTTAGTTAGTTAGTTAGTTAGTTAGTTAGTTAGTTAGTTAGTTAGTTAGCTAGTTAGTTAGTTAGTTAGTTAGTCGACAGATTATCCTCATTGCACGTCAAACCATTCAGTCCATTATCGACCTAATTCTTTCTTGAGTAAATCTTACAGCGTGTAGCGGCTCAGCACGCCATTTCTGTACTAGGAATTCCAGGAAAATTTGACTAAAAAGCTCAACCAAATGCGGAAGCAGAAAAACGTGTACGCAACAACAACACACATAACGTAACGTTTCGGCCGGGCAGCCTTTGTCAAACAGGAAGTGAATTACACAAAAATAACAACGAGGAGAGGAGAGTATGTAGATCTCTAAGGGGTGAAGTGAGCAACGTTTTAAAAAAATGTGATGTGGAATAAGTAAAATAAAATAAAATAAACATTGGCTAAAAAAATTTAGTCGCAAAAAAAAATTAAAAGTAATATTTTTAATGTATAATATAATAATGGGAATAAAAGAAATAAAAATGTTAATGATACATAAATGATACTGATAGGAGAAAGAATAAAGTAATAATATGAAAGAAATAAAAAATAATTAACATTTAAAATGTGAAAAGAGTAGAACTGTTTCGATGAAGGTATGTTGTATATTGATACCACCTGGAATAAGAACGCCTGTGGATGAGGCGATTTTTCAAAGCGAGGGGCGTAGTATAATCGCCAGAGCAAGATTTTAATGCTGTGACAGATGTATCATCTTTATCTTTGGGGTCAGAGCTGTTAAAATGGAGAGGGATTGGTTTAAGTGTCTCCTTGTCAATATCGGAGAGGTGTTCTCGGAAACGATCAGATAGCTTCCTGCCAGCTTCCCCAATGTATGCCCTGCTGCATCGTTTGCAGATTATTGCATAAATTACATTGCGGGATTCGCAAGTAAAAGATTCCCTAATTTGAAAAAAAACAAAACATTATGGAAACTGACCGAAGAAGTCTGGACAACGAAAGGACAGGTCTTGCATGTGCTGCGAGAGCATTCAGTAGTCCTAAAAGAAAGTGCTGTATGGATCAGTGGGAGTCGGCTTCTGACAGGTATGTCTTTAAGGTTGCGGTCTCGTCTATAAACTAATCTTGGCTTCACACTAAAGATAATCTTGGTGTCCAGATCATAGCGGAAAATGTCCAAATCACGAAAGAATACTTTGGAAGCAACCACATTGCTAGAGTGAAAAGTCATAATTAGTTTGGGTCCATCACTGGAGGAATTACATTTGGTGGGGAAAACATCTCTCCTGGTAATTGTTAAAACTTTGTTTAGAGCTCTTCTAGAATGTGTTCCGGATAGAAACGGGCACGGAAGAAATCAAAAAGTTCTACTGATTCATCAGAGAAGTCAGAATCATCAGAGCACAACCTGCGCAATCGATTGAGCTGTGAATACAGAATAGAATTTTTAAACGGTAGGGGGTGAGACGACGTATATTACAGCTTTACCTGCAAGCCAATCAGCTTGCTCATTTTCTTGCACGCGTGAGTGCCCTGGCAAAAATATGGAACTGAAATGTGTAACTATCACACAGACTGTATTCTGTGATGCAGTACCATTGTCACATAGACATACTGTATACATATGGTACAGTAAATCTGAGAGCCGCGATGGCGTAGTAGCCAGACACTTGCCTGCAGCCATCAAGATGAATGTTTGACAAATGTTACTGGGCTTAAAAGTTGACTTAGACTACACTGGATGGCAGGAAATATCCAAAGAACTCAAGGCGTTCAGTATGATTGGAGTTTCATCACCGATCGAGCGCCCATTGATACATAAAGTAAATGGATTAAACTTCACATGCCCGATTCACCAGAGCTGTGATGGGAGTCCTTCACTTTTGTTTTGCATCTACAACAGCATAGACTCGTTTTCTTCCCCCGACAGGAGAACTGCACCAGTTCATCAGAAGCTGCTCCAGCTCAAACTCTGAGAAAGCTGACTGCTTTGCCAGCCCGCCAGGCTACAAAACCTGCGCCAACATCTGCTACACTGACGGCTGCAACAGCGCCAAGACATCCAGCAACATCCACCGGCTGTGGTCGCTGCCGTGGCTACTGCTCACCCTTCAGCTTTATACGCGTTAAACGGAAACACATAGCGATGTTTATGTAAATGATGCGTTTTACACAAGTCCATTGTGATCAAGTAAAATAATCAGTTCCACGTCGTAAGTTTAAAGCAAATGAAAATCATGTCAGTATGTCATGTGTGGTATATTTGTTGCTCTTTTGTCTGATTTCTTCCCACATGAAGTTTATGTGCGCGCGCACACACACACACACACACACACACACACACACACACACACACACACACACACACACACACACACACACACACACACACACACACACACACACACACACACACACACACACACACACACACACACACACACACACACACACACACACACACACACACGCACGCACGCACGCACGCACGCACGCACGCACGCACGCACGCACGCACGCACGCACGCACGCACGCACGCACGCACGCACGCACGCACGCACGCACGCACGCACGCACGCACGCACGCACGCACGCACGCACGCACGCACGCACGCACGCACGCACGCACGCACGCACGCACGCACGCACGCACGCACGCACGCACACACACACACACTCTCTCTCTCTCTCTCTCTCTCTCTCTCTCTCTCTCTGTATGGGCTCCGGCGCCCCATTTTGGGAAAGGAACAGATAGACCTCCTGCCCTCGTAACATTAGCTTGAAAGTCGTTGAACTAATAGTCTACATACAAATAAGCCAGATAGTTAAACGGATGAGCATGCAAAACTCAAACTCTGAAACAAAGTCCAGAAGTGGCAGGATTAACACTAAATACTTATTCTTAAGTTATTTGTCTCAGAATTTATTACACCATTTCTTTCTGAACTGCTGATTTCAGATATCATATTAAATTCACCAACTGGCTCTGTGTTGTTTTACTTTAATGATGCATTTACGTTACAGTACAAATGTTTAATTCTCTAGGGTGAACAGTTGGTTTTTTCTACTTTAGCAATATGCAGACTGTGGTTACATACTGGGTTAACTAATATTTTAGTATGAAAGGATTTTTTAAAAATATGTGCTAAAGTTCACATATAATGTTTTGAAAATAAGTTTGTGAGCTTATTCCGTCATTAGACAGCGCTGTGCGAGCTCTCTTTGCTTGCTTCTTGTAGTCAATCTATGAGGTAGGTGTCTCTTGTCACAGTCCAACAGTAATCAGCAAGCATTGGAGGGCTCCAATTGACACCTTGTCTCTGTATCAGCAATGTCACGGTGAAATCATTCACCATTCTCTCCGCTGATGATCAGTTCGCGCAGGGCTATCTCACTCATAAAGAAATCAACAGTACTTTGCGTATCGGAGCGGCTAGACGCTCGCCGCTGATGGGAAGGTCGTGGGTTCGCTCCCTGGCGAAGCCGGACTTTAAAAAAAATTACCTTGGCTCCTAGGTTAACTCAGCCTTAAGTGGGTACCGGGAAGTAAAGGCGGCTGGAGTGATGCTGACCGCATCACCCATTTTGTGCTGATTGATCTATAAAAATATAGGTCTAGCCCTATATGCCTCAAGGCGTGGAAAGGGGTCCTTTCCTTTTGTTTAACTTGGCGTATCTACCCTGTAGTCTAAGCAAAAAACTGTTTAGTCACCGCAATGTGCCCAGTGGTGATGATCGAAGTTTATACACTTCAAAAGCTAATAAATATTTTCATAAGTTTCTTTCATATGAATTGCATGACCAGTACAATCACAATTATTCAACAAAACAGCTTTACAAGCAATGTTGCATGAATCAGTAAACTCTTTCAATTTGTAATTGATTTTGAGGGTTGCCCTTACAAAAATGTTGGGGCACGTTGTAAAAAAGAATTTAATAGAAGCTTCTGAAGGCTCTTATAGTTAGCAATTCTAACATCTTCTGCAAGAGATTCCCTTGTTGCAGTGTGGAACCCAGAAACTCTGTCTTGTTCCTTTAGGTACGGGATAATCTCATGGGAAGTAAAGACAATCCACGAGTTCTAATTCGTCTATAAATATTTGAGTCTAGCATCATATAAGCCACGGGAATAAACATATCTTCCTTACTTCAAAATAAAATAAAAATTATGGAGTTTTTTAGTTTCCAAATGAGATCAAGAATAATTGATATTTTCTGCTGAGTGAATAAATGGATGACTCAGTCAAAACTTCCCATCACTTCACTCTGGTCATTCAGAGAGTTCACCAGGGTGCCTGTTACAATGCCGCTTGCGACATAGTTTACAGGCCATCTGTCTTTTCCCTTGTGAGTTAAACATCGTCCGGATCTTTAGCTCACTCCCCACTGAATCAGCCTTTAAATGTATGGATACTGTGTTTGTTGTGTCACAATAATCATTTGATTTTTGTGAGCCTTTGTCAATTCCAATTATCATAATAATCCCACCACTCAGAGCTTAGCAACAAAACCATCCGACACTCCCCCCCCCCCCCCCCCACCATCACACCCACATATACCTCCTGGTAAAGAAAAAGAAAAAAGGTAATTTCAACAATAACAGCAACAATAGTAACAACAAAGTTTTTTAAGCTAAACAAATAACATGACATATGTGGTGACCAGGACAAAAATGTAATATAAATTATGTTAAAGATATAAATGCAATATATCGATGTCTCCCACTAAAGTCATTAATAAATTACTTTTGTCTTTCAACTTGTTTGGAAAACTTATTTAGCCAGTGAAAATATTTATGACATTACTCTGTAAATAATTGTGATTTAAAATGATTTCCTTGTTTGTTTGCTAATTCTAAAAGATTTGTGCTAATTCCTTTTGCTCTTAAGTTTCTTTATAGACTTACTTCCAAATTCAAAGCTATGTATGTATTAACTACAGCACATCTACGTTAATTTTACACATATGTTGCTTCTGGTCTCTTGAGTAAAATGTTAACACAAATTTCAGCTAATCACGATCCCCGGGATCTATTGTTGAGGGGAGAAGAGAACAGACCCTCTGTCCAATAACAAACATGTCGTAGGGTGCCACTAATTGTGGACGTTTCCTTCAAAGTTTTAGTGCGCTGTCTGATAGGCTAGGAGCTAACAGACTGCAAACAGATAAGTCAGATCTGTAAAATGGATGTACACGAAAAACTCATTCTAGAACAAGATCACGGTCCAGAAGTGTTCGAACAACCAGATTATTCCGCTGGAGTTTACAGCCAGTGAACACTAGGAAGAAGAAGAAGAAAAAGAAGAAGAAGAAGAAGAAGAAGAAGAAGAAGAAGAAGAAGAAGAAGAAGAAGAAGAAGAAGAAGAAGAAGAAGAAGAAGAAGAAGAAGAAGAAGAAGAAGAAGAAGAAGAAGAAGAAGAAGAAGAAGAAGAAGAAGAAGAAGAAAAAAAAAGAAGAAGAAGAAGAAGAAGAAGAAAAAGAAAAAAAGAAAAAGAAGAAGCAGAAGCAGAAGAAGAAGAAGAAGAAGAAGAAGAAGAAGAAGAAGAAGAAGAAGAAGAAGAAGAAGAAGAAGAAGAAGAAGAAGAAGAAGAAGAAGAAGAAGAAGAAGAAGAAGAAGAAGAAGAAGAAGGAGAAGAAGAAGAAGGAGGAGGAGAAAAAGAAGAAGAAGAAAAAGAAGAAGAAGAAAAAGAAGAAGAAGAAAAAGAAAAGAAGAAGAAGAAGAAGAAGAAGAAGAAGAAGAAGAAGAAGAAGAAGAAGAAGAAGAAGAAGAAGAAGAAGAAGAAGAAGACAAAGAAAAGAAGAAGAAAAAGAAAAGAAGAAGAAGAAGAAAAGAAGAAGAAGAAGAAGAAGAAGAAGAAGAAGAAGAAGAAGAAGAAGAAGAAGAAGAAGAAGAAGAAGAAGAAGAAGAAGAAGAAGAAGAAGAAGAAGAAGAAGAAGAAGAAGAAGAAGAAGAAGAAGAAGAAGAAGAAGAAGAAGAAGAAGAAGAAGAAGAAGAAGAAGAAGAAGAAGAGAAGAAGAAGAAGAAGAAGAAGAAGAAGGAAGAAGGAAGAAGGAAGAAGGAAGAAGGAAGAAGGAAGAAGGAAGAAGGAAGAAGGAAGAAGGAAGAAGGAAGAAGGAAGAAGGAAGAAGGAAGAAGGAAGAAAGAAGAAGGAAGAAGGGAAGAAGGAGGAAGGAGGAAGAAGGAAGAAGGAAGAAGGAAGAAGGAAGAAGGAAGAAGGAAGAAGGAAGAAGAAGAAGGAAGAAGGAAGAAGGAAGAAGAAGAAGAGAAGAAGAAGAAAGAAGAAGAAAGAAGAAGAAGAAGAAAGAAGAAGAAAGAAGGAAGAAGGAGAAGAAAGAAGGAAGAAGGAAGAAGGAAGAAGGAAGAAGGAAGAAGGAAGAAGGAAGAAGGAAGAAGGAAGAAGGAAGAAGGAAGAAGGAAGAAAGAAGGAAGAAGAAGGAAGAAGAAGGAAGAAGGAAGAAGAAGGAAGAAGAAGGAAGAAGAAGGAAGAAGAAGGAAGAAGAAGGAAGAAGAAGGAAGAAGAAGGAAGAAGAAGGAAGAAGAAGGAAGAAGAAGGAAGAAGAAGGAAGAAGAAGGAAGAAGAAGGAAGAAGAAGGAAGAAGAAGGAAGAAGAAGGAAGAAGAAGGAAGAAGAAGGAAGAAGAAGAAGAAGAAGGAAGAAGAAGGAAGAAGAAGGAAGAAGAAGGAAGAAGAAGGAAGAAGAAGGAAGAAGAAGGAAGAAGAAGGAAGAAGAAGGAAGAAGAAGGAAGAAGAAGGAAGAAGAAGGAAGAAGAAGGAAGAAGAAGGAAGAAGAAGGAAGAAGGAAGAAGGAAGAAGGAAGAAGGAAGAAGGAAGAAGGAAGAAGGAAGAAGGAAGAAGGAAGAAGGAAGAAGGAAGAAGGAAGAAGAAGAAGGAAGAAGGAAGAAGGAAGAAGGAAGAAGGAAGAAGGAAGAAGGAAGAAGGAAGAAGAAGAAGAAGAAGAAGAAGAAGAAGAAGAAGAAGAAAAAGAAGAAGAAAAGAAGAAGAAGAAGAAGAAGAAGAAGAAGAAGAAGAAGAAGAAGAAGAAGAGGAATATCACCTGGTATGAACCCACTGTTATCAATACTCGTATCTTTTAAAAGTGAGTTTATCAATATTTCTATTTCAAATACTT